AGCCAGCATCCCCTCCATCCTCCAAACCCAGCCAGCACCCCCTCCATCCTCCAAACCCAGCTAGCACCCCCGTCCATCCTCCAAGCCAAGCTCACCACTTTTTGTTTCCCCTCTTGTGCCTGCACGTGGCTGGGTTTGCCTTGGGTTCCTTTTCTCTCTCCATAGCTCTCCCCACAGTGGACTGATCCTACTTCACTCAAATAGATCCATGTAAGGTAGTAATCAGGACCTTTATATAAACTGGTCCAGGGGCTGACCTGATGATGTCTTAACGTCCTGAGGGAAAGGAGACAGGTACAGTTTGGTGCACCACAACCTGGTTAGCTGGAAGCCATCACAGAGGCTGGCCTAGTTGTGTTGGGCACATGGTGGAGCGGAATGCAGGTGTAGCCGGGGAAATAAGCTCACAGAACCAGTCAATCACTTGCTAAGGCTGGGACACGGGAGGAAGACAACTGAAGCCCTTGCTGGGCTTCCCCATCTAGTGGACCCTCCTACTGTGGACACTCCCCGGTCACATCAGATGAGCAAGGCCATCGGAGGCCCCCTGCTAGAACACCAGTCCTTGCCAGCCTAGGAGAGCAGTGCATCCCAGTGGCCCTGGGCACTAGAGCGTCATATGGATCCTTCAACAAACATTTTCAGGGATGCAAGGAGCTCACAAAGGAGAGGGTGTATGGCAGGATGGGAGGGCTTGTGGCAGGCTCCCCGCTTCAACTAGGAAGAAAAAGAGTGTGAAGATTTATGTTGACTGCAGATTTCCTTTTGCAAATAGCTCACTCTGCTGCCTCCTTTTGTCTGGTCCAGCAGCATTCTTAAGCAACTGCTACTCCTTGAGCCACAAGCCTACCACTTCAGTCCTACAAGCTCTAGCCCCTCACGTTGGAACAGATCCTGAAGTAAATCCCCACTGGAGGCAGACTCCAGCCTGAGAGTGTCACGAGCTCTGAGCAGGGGATTGAATACGCACTTGGGAACACAGGGTGCCAGCACCAAGCGAGGCACAGCGCCCCACTGTGTTGAAAGGAGAGAACAGCACCGTAGGCCTCCACGGCCACTTTACATCAGAAGAGATTGATTTGGCCTTCTGGTGTGTTGTTTCCATAGAAGCAGGGCTTAACCTTTTAAGTGAAGATTATAAGGCTACCTAATTCATTTAAAATTAGGTTTTGAGCATCTCAGCACTTAATGCCCGAGTGTTTCTGTGGGACCTGCTGTAGCCATTGATCCGACTGCCAGGCAGAACTGTGACTCCAGCATCTACCAGGCTCTCACTGCTAGGAATCCGTTTGCTTTATTTGTAACCATAATTTTCCACAGAGGCATAACTCCTGAGAAAAAGCATCAGAATATTCATAAATACCCTTTAATTAATCAACAGCACAGACTTCATGAACACAGAAGGCTGGAATGCAAGCAAGACACGTGTGCATTCAATTAAAGTAATTTATTGTATTTTTCCAGAAAGGACATAAAGGGCATCTTGGGAGTTGATATCACAACACAGTGTTACACACCATTTTCACAACTAGCTTTACATTGAATTCTTTTTAAAAGAACATAGTAATTTAAAAAATCTGAATATTTACATATTAATAAAACATATGTACACAAGATTGAGACGCATCCATAGTTATGGACTTTTTTTTTTGCTAAGAAAGCCTATAAAAAGGGTTTCTGAACAAAGTCGGACAGTAGTCACAGTTAATTAACACAAACACAATTGAAACTTACAAAATATGATTTTACTGTCGCAGTTCTGATCTGCCTTTCCACTTTGTGAATCCACGGCGCTTGTCTGCAAGCTGAACGATCCCTACCCTCCTCAAGTATTGAAAACTCCAAGCTGCCTCCGAGGCTTGGAAGGAAGCGTTTTTGGAAGGTTTATAGTGCGTACTAAATAGGCCTACAGTGTAAGTATATGATCCCCCTGTACTAAAAACAAATCCATCACCATTTAATAGAGTGAAGAGTGAAGGGCACTAATTCAGCTTTTCTGTTCCCTTGAGGAGGATTTCATTCTAGGAGGCAGAAGACTTTTTTTTTTTTTTTTTTCCGGATCTGTTGCAATTAAACGAAAGTCTTGGTTTGTCTGCAGCTCATCAGAACACTCAATAAAACAAAAGGATTAGGGCTGGCTGGCAACAGAAACTGGCAACTGAAAAGTTCGAAGGGAATAATTTCTAAGCCATTCCGCAGTCTCCAAAGGAAGAGACAGAAAAGGTTCACATGTGAGATGTTGCTGTCTAGTTGCTAGACGACTCCAGGAGCAACACCTAACAGCACATGTTGTCACATTCCAGGGATATCACAGATCACCTCACCGAGCAGCTGGTCTCAGGGGAGTACTGCCCTCGTCCTCCCGTCCTGAGCCCTACATGTTCAGTATGAAGTGACACAGTACACTGGATGCCCAGGTTCTTTCTACGTCCAGCTGGCCGTGAGGGTAACCTGACCCTAGGCAACCCCTTACCTACTTCTCAGTTCTCTCAGGCAAAGCAGCGGGCGAGGTAGCCCCAGCAGCACTAACTGTTGGCTCTGACTTGTGGCTGACGGGAACACTAGGCAAAAGGCAGTTTTTAATCCCTGGGGTTTGGTGGACCGACTGTTACATTTCTTTTTTATGGCAATTTTTGGCCTTCTGTGTCAAGTGCCCAAGATTCAAGGCAATTAATTTGCTTTATATGATAAATAAGGTTTGCCGCAAGGTTCTCTAAGTTCGTTGATTTCAATGCATTACTTCATTAGTGAAACACGTGGAGGTACAGCAAATATCCGTACTGCAAAGATTTCTCTAAAATAAACCCAGAGTTTTCTCATATTTAGTTTTATATAAAGTAGAAGGCAAGCGTATGAGGGACCAGATAAACTAGAGGAGGAACATGGAACAGGGTCAAAGCTACTCGGTTAAACCATATTTAAATGCTTGATGGCTCCTAAGCAGATGGCTGGTTACGCTGAGTTAAGTTTTTTGTAACTGCATCATCATAAATTACGTAAAAGTGCTTTATTTCCTAAGAATTCATACATCATTTGTTCTTCAGTTCAGAACAACTGTTTCAGGTTCTATGATTGACACATAAATGACTTCATCATTTGTTCTTCAGTTCAGAACGACTGTTTCAGGTTACTATGACTGATGTCATAAGTCACAAATCAGGCCAGAGCCATCCCACCTCCCAGAACTACCTTTCCTTCTCTAGGCTGAAGGGTCAGTCAGCACTGCTGCTCTGTAACTTCCGTCAGTCCTAGAGAGAGGTCTCCTCTGCATGCAGCTAAGCAATTTACAATAAAATAAATATGTTTAAGAAGACTGTGTATTCACACAGAGATTATGAATGAATAAAACCAGGAAGAGAACTGCTTCTTTATGATGGGTCACACACACTGGACTTTTGAATGGTAACAACTCTAAGCTTGATTTCTTTGAAGAAAATATGATACCAAATTGGAGTTGTGATACCACATGTTACAAAGAAATGATTCAGACAGGACAAGCCACCACAGAACACCCACACTGCAGGCACCTCAACTGCTCCATGAACCTTTGAGGAAACGGAAGAAGAGGATGCTAAAATGCAAGTCTAGGCAATGGAGCCTGGATCCGGGTCCTCCGCGGTCTCTCTCCTGGTGACAAATATATTACCTACAATAGAGACAAGACAGTGAGGGAGGCTGTTTCTCCAAAGCACAGCTGTACATTTCATCACATGGCCAGGGTCAGGTAAGGACAAAATCAGTCAACTATGTGTGCAAGACCTGGGGTTCACTGCTTTACACAGCCGGGTCAGAGCAATGTGGAAGGGTGATATGCAGCAACACGGCCACCAAAGAGCCGGTCAGGTTGGGGATTTCACTTTAGACGGCAACCATGAAGCGTGCTATCAAGATTATTTGATAATCAAGATCTGAGAACCAATCTGTGACTTCTTTCCCCCTTTTCTAAAATGAAATGCTTTAAAAAACGACAGAGCATGCTGTTGAGAAGTTTGTGTCTGCAGCTAGCAACACTCTACTTTCTTCTTTATTACCCCCAAACAGGCAGAATTTAAGAAAGGAATTGAAGAAATGAGTTTAAACCGGAGTGAACTTTGGGTAGATGATGCCAGACAGGATCAATGTGAAGAGCGAGCCACTGAAATGGAATCCTCATGGGACTGCACGCCCATCGTCTCTTAGGATCTTTAAGAAACAGAGAAGCCGTCTTTGGCTTAGGTATAAGAAAGCCCTATGCTATAATGTCGGGGACTGAGAGGACTGGGCCTGCCATGCCATCACCAGCTGTGGTATCTTGGGAACGTCATTTAATGTTTTTTTGGGTTTCAGGCTTTTTCCCCTGGAAAATACAAGGGCCGGATACAAAGGAGGGATCGGTTGACATGAGTTCCCAAGTTCTTCTCATGTTCAGATTCCTTTGCAGTTTGTCAGTTCTGGAAAACTCTACTAGCATCCCTGGGCAGCCGTTTCCCTTGAAATGCCTCTGCTCAGTCTTTAGACAGTTAAATACAAAGGTGCATCTGCAAGAGGCACAGTCTTCAAATAATACAGCAAGAGTCCACCACGTCATCCGAAGATGACACGAAGCAGAAGCCAGCTGCTGCAGACGCCCAGGGGACAACTAGAAAAGCAAGGCATTCCTCCCCAAGGCCCTGAACCCCACGTCATCATTCTGATTAGTATTTCCTTCATCTGCTGGGGATGGGTCAAAGACGGCAAAAGTATTGTTATCGTGAGTTGTCCTGCTATTCAGAGGATGGCAACAAACACTAGAGCCCACATTCAGCTCTCTGGACTCACAGGTATGGAAACACAAACAGCGTAAGGACTATAGATGACAAGAACTGGATATATGCGGCTGTTTTGTGCACAACTGTGGCCGTTTCCTTCACTTGTCCACTGATCTGTTACTTGGCTGCTCAAGGCAGAGAAGCAGGTGTAACTTACATGGCTCCAGTGTACCCAGGAGCTTCTCTTTGATGACCACCCCGAGATATGTGTTATCTAGGCCATGTGACCACTAGGGACTCTACCAAGAGTTTCGGCAAACATAGTACATACTCCAGTCATATTTTCTCAATTTAATTCAAGTCTCACTGCCCCAGATCAGGGGAAAAAAAACAAGAAACAAAAAGAAACAAACAAACAAAAAATCCCAAAGCCCCACTGATGTGAGCTTTTGTAGTTCAAGGTTTCTTTGGCCTGTCTGGCTTTTATGGATGGAATCTTCAGAGAATCTTTGAGGAGCAGCCAATAGGGAGGGAGTCCTGAGACCAAGTGAGGGGTAAGTTGTTTGACACATGGCTCACTGAGCAGCCACTCGCTCCTCTCCTCTCGGGTGTGAGCTCATACACAGGCAGGAGGTCAGAATCACAGGCCTGACACGGAGTCTTGTGATGAGGTCACAATCAAGCCCACAGCTGAACACAGTTGTGCAGTGGATACTGCAGTGTTCCACCACATTTGCTGATCTGACACCAGGAGTGTGTTTCACACTGGTGGGCTGGCTTATTCAATCACACACGATCACTAAGAGTGCTGGTGCATGCCTCTCAAAGGCCTTTTGATGGAATAAGACAAGATGGGCCTGAATTTGGTCACACAAAGTTGACAATCCAGGTTTAAAGCTAAATGTCGTTTATGTTAAAAGTGTCTTCTAATGTCTAAAGGCTTGGTGAAGCAGCACGTTGTGATTCCAACTTCTTAGGATTTGCACTTCTGAGATTTTTATGAATATGAAACAGGGTGTGAGAAAAATGCTTCTTTTCATAGCCAATGTAAAAACACCTCTGAACCTAGGCCCCCAAGAAACTGGGCACTGTGAGGGCCCGGGTCTATTACAGAAACAGCCTGCTCAAGCACCTGCATCCCTAATGGTGAAAGCATTTTCAATGCAAATGTTTCCTTGCAGCGGGTGATGAAATGTAAATGTGTTTTACCTGTTGGTGGTAGCGAAATGCCGTCCAGTTTTTCATCACCGTCAGCTGCCTCTGCTGGTTACAAACATAAAACACAAATCTCATTAGTTGTGGGGAGCGCATTCATTTTGCTGGATACAGGAACACAATTAAAGAGACTCCAGTGTACACAGTGGCTTTCATCTTTCTTTCTCCGTTCCCTTCACTTGGTTCCGATTTCAGGTTTAGCATCATTATTTAAACACAATTTCGTTTCATGATTATGACAGGAAGTCAACCGTCCTGTATTAAAACTTGAAAACTCTCTGACCTCATTTTGTCAGTCACAGGTGATTCCAGTTCATTGTGTCTTATTTTCCTAAGCTTAAACCCCTCCCAGCAATCCAGTCTGTTTGGATGCTCACCTTCCTGGACCTGGAGTGAGGGGGGAGGAACTTGGACTTCCCACAGGGCAGGAGACCCTGACTTGCCTAGGGGACAAAGAGGGAGGAGGAGAGGGAGGGGGGGAGTGGGAGGGCGTTGGGAGGAGGGGCGTAAATGGAAACTTTTTATAATTTAATAAAATTACAAAAAAAAAAAAAAAAACCCCTCCCAGCAGCAGGACGGACTGCTCAGCCACACACTGAGGGCACTTAAGTCACTGTCTCTGGCTGGAGAACTGTACTTTTCACAACCTGCCCCATCTGCACCCTGAGCCACTCAGAGTGGAATCCTCAGAATGAACTTTCCTTTGGAGATGCCTGGTTCTGGAGCTGTCAGTCAAACTGCCGGATCCATTTAGTCAGGAAGGAAACCATGGAGAGAAAATACATACTTTTTTTTTTCAAAAGATTCCTCCCTTTTGTGATTTAAAATGCAAACCTTGCTCTTCTGATGTGTTTCAGTCTCCTTAATGGTTCTGCAAAGCGTGATCCTTCAGACACAGACACACAGACACACACCCCTACTAAATGTAAAGAGAGGCTGTTCATAGGCCTCCTGGTAACTCAAGGGAGTGAGCCTCCCCTAACAAGCTATGGACAGAGGAAACATTCGCATAGGGCTATTGGGATAATCCTGGTGGCATCCTTTCCCCAACCCAAAGATCCTGCTGCCTGCACTTGTGTGCCCTGAGGCTAGCCTTCTGCTCCACCTTGCAGTGTGGAGATGGTGGAAAAGCCAACACAATACTATATTCTCATTTTCACTGTTGGTGCTTTAAACACGACCAGGGACAGACACAATCAGAAATGTTCCAAGCTTTCTGCCTTTAGTTTAGCCTTGAATATCTTGTCCTTAGGTGGGTAGATCTGGCATCAGTGTCTGCTGGTCCATGTGACTCACCACAGAAAGAAAACAGAGAAGAGATGGAAAAGTCCCAGCCAATTTTGATTGGAATGGAGACTATTATAAATGATGTTGATAAGCATTAATAGCATGACAAAAAGATAAACGGCAGGAGAGAGCTGGGGAAGGTGATCTACAGAAAACCTGTAAGATGTACTAAAATTCTCTAGATAAAAGGCATTAGGTGCTCTGGTTGGTCTCTGTGTACGTTCACACATGTGCATACATGCCCTTGCACACGCCCACGTGTATGCACACACCAAGGTACCAGGTCCTTGTCAGGGGTCTTCATCTATCATTCTCTACACTATTTTTGGGGATATGTCCTCCCACTGAACCCGCAGCCAGCAGGTTTAGCTAGACTGGCCAGTCTGTGAGCCCGGGAATCTGCCCGTCTCTACCAGCATCTGAGTGCTGGGGTTGCAGATGCACACCAGCACACCTGGCTGCGTTATAAGGAGCTGGGGATAGAAATCCAGTTTCCTGCATGTGTGGCAAATGCTTTCCCCACGGATCTACTTCCTTAGCTTGGTTCTTATGGCTTTGAAAAGAATTTTATATATTAAAAAACAATGAATGCACGGCTTTTATATTTAGAAGTCACCATTTCCTTCTGACTGGTTTCAATGAATCTGAAAGGCAGATGGTTTACATCGCAATTGTCTTATTACCAGGGCTGAAATTCTTCAGTAATAATAAATGGCCACCACCACTTACTAAATACTTTTTATTGAGCATTTTGTGTGCAATTTGTCATCTGACTGATAGATAGTCTTGTGGGTATGTCTGATGCTATGCTTGCTTTAATACACTAGGAATCAAAGCTGGAGAAATGAAATTACGGCTAGAAAGTCACAGTGCCAAAGACAAGAATGGGCTTTGAGTCTGGACACTCAAGCTCTTGCTATTAATAATACACATATATCCCATGTGATCTTAATAGATAATTTTTAAAAATCTTCAAATTCTAGTTCATTTTATATTTTAGTAATTTCTTCTACCTTACACATGTCTGCTTTTCATTTAGTGTTAAGAAAAATTAGATTTTCTTGGGGTCTGAGGTGACCCTTTCCTTTGTAATTCAGCTACCCTTACTGGGGCCTATGAAGGTCAGAAGATGGGACTGGATCTTCTAGAACTGGAGTTATAGCCTGTTGTGAGCCACTAGGTATTGCTGGTCCTTTGGAAGAACAGCCATGGTCTTAATTGCTGAGTTATCTCTGCAGCTCCTACCCTTATTTTTTTTGTGTGAGCCATCATGTAGTTGCTGGGAACTGACTCAGGACCTCTGGAAGAGGAGCCAGAGTGCTTAACCACTGAGCCATCTCTCCAGCCCAACACATACTTTTTATATGTGGACCTACATGATCATGTGCTTTTGTCAGGATAGAACAAATATAGTTTATGTATATTTAGGTTATATATTCTGACATATGTAAACTATATATTCTGTCAGGACATATAACCCAAATATATGTAAACTATATAAATTCGTATGCTGGCTACATGCGTAGGGCAAGTGTCATGGTGAAGAACATCAGGATGTTAATCATAACACCCGTCAGTAACAACAAGCTCTCAGCTTCTCTTCTCTGGCGATGACCAAGCTGTAAAATCTGGAAAACACTGAGCAAGTCCAATAAAACTTTAGCAGCAGCGACAGCTTTACTTCTGGATCTAACGCAAACAATAAATTGTGATTTCAGTTCTGAAGAAGTAATCTAATAAAAATGATAAAAATCCACACCAGGAATGGAATTCTAGTTATAGAAAAAAATTATTATATGTGATGAGAGCCCCAAATGAATTTGTTTGGATTTGCATAACGACTTTTCCAATGTGTGGGGCACCGCTTTCTCCTACAGCCAGGGCAGGTTTCCCTACGTGGTGAGTTGATCAGCTGGGTCCAGTCAGAGTCTGGACCCAGTTCAGAACGGCTGATAAACGAGACTGTGGAGGTGGTGGAATACCTTTAACACACTGTATTATCATTTTAATGGAAAATAATCAAGATGAAAAACCCCAGAGTCCTGAGAATTTTATTCCAGGGAACAGAGTTCAGGGGCACTTCTGCCCTGTGGGTCTGGAGGGAACAGCATAAATATTGGTACCTTCAGTCAGAAAATGGCAGTATTCTTCAGGATTTCATATTTTGACTAGAAAAAACAGTCTCTCACTGGCTTCGAACTCATCAAGTGTGCTAAGATGGCTGCCCTACAGATACAGCGCTGAGATTACAAGGATATGTTTTATGTTTATTTATTTTCTTACACGGGTTCTGGGAATTTAACTCCTATTGCTTGCAAGGTAAACTCATTACCAACAGAGCTATCTCCCTGAGGCCCTATTTTTATTGTTTTTGAGGAATCTCCATATTGTTTTTTATAACAGATATACTAATTTACATGAAATTTAGAAATAAGACCTAGAGATTTGTGATCTAGTAGAGATAACTATTCTCGGATGATAGGAGAAAATTGACCCCAAAGGGATTTCTAACTGGCAAGATGTAGATTCTGGAGGCTGAGACTTTGATGACCAAATCTATATAGTAACAACTGGCAAGATGTAGATTCTGGAGGCTGAGACTTTGATGACCAAATCTATATAGTAACAATTTAACTGGTATTATCTTTGCCTAGAAAAATAACCGCCAAGCTGCTATCTCTCAAGTTTTAAACATGCCCACATACACGCATGCATGCATACACAGAAACACATAAACACACACCTTAAATTCCTTCCAACTTGATGTGGTATTTCTGACAGAATGACTTTTGCTCTTTTTGGATTTTTGAAACAGGGTCTCTCCACATCAACCCTGGCTGTCCTGGAACTCACTATGTAGAACAGGTTGTCCTGGAACCTACTTTGTAGACCAGGTTAGATCTCAAACTCACTGAGATTTGTCTCTATCTCAAGTGCTGGAATTAAAGGCATGCACTAGCCTGGTGCTCCTGTCCCCTTTATACCCTGAGCAATTAGGCTTTAAAAAACTCATGGGGGGGGGTGCTGGAGAGATGGCTCAGAGGTTAAGAGCACTGACTGCTCTTCCAGAGGTCCTGAGTTCGATTCCCAGCAACCACATGGTGGCTCACGGCCATCTGTAATGAGATCTGGTGCCCTCTTCTGGCCAGCAAGCATACAGGACATTGTATACATAATAAATAAATAAATCTTAAAAAAGAAGAAAAACAAAGCAAAAAAGAGTGCTGACCATTCTTTTAAAAACACATTTAAAAAAAAAACTCATGTAGGTACAAACAAACAGAAATCAACAGTCAGATAAAAGCGGACCACAGAAGACGAAGTCTACACGTGAGACACATTGCTACAGGTGTGAGTAGCAATCCTTTTCTCTTATACTATTAAAAGCAAATGGATGACATAATTTCTACTATTCAATCTTAAGACAACATTCAAAACCAGAGCACATTCCACAGAACATGTCCTTGCAGAGAAGACGTATGTCCTTGCCATACCTAGAGAGAAGGCGCTACACTTCCAACATAGCAGAGAGCCCAACACAGCACTTTCACGGTGATTTCTACAGCATATTCATACCTGAGCCTCTTTTTAACCTCCTTCTGGCCAGTTTAATTTGATCCTGTAGAATCTGTACCCAGTCTCTTGGGCCAGGAAGTTTATCCACATGGTTTGCAGTACAGTACTTCTCTGTAAAGACTGAAAGAAAACATGAGATTGTACTACATACCTTAACAACAACAAACAGATGCAGAACAAAACAGGAAGGTGGCCCATGGAGAAAACACGTCCATTTTGTTGTTCCTTTTCTGGTGCTGAGATTCTAACTTAGGAACATGTACATGCTTGGCATGTGCTCAGCCACAAGCCTCCTCTCAGTCCTGAAGTGAACTTCTAAGGATGACAGCCCCATGGGCACATCTTCTGCAGCGGCACTGTGCTCTTTGGGTAAAGGTGGCAAGCAGCTGAGCACTGACTACAAATGATGGCTTGTGCTTCAACATGAAACTGGCTGGAAACACTGAGCTGGTTGTGGGGAAACCGCTCTTTGCATGTGCTTGTGTCTGACGGGCAGAAAAGAAAATGCTTCATAGGGCTCTGCCAGGTCCACTCATAACAGAATCGAGCAAATGTGTTAACTGACTTCATCTGTGTTGTCAATTCATAGTCAAACGCAACATTACACAGAGATGTTCTCACTCTGATCCTTAAGAACTCAGCACTTGCTGGGTGGTGGTGGCACACGCCTTTAATCCCAGCACTTGGGAGGCAGAGGCAGGCAGATCTCTGTGAGTTTGAGGCTAGCCTGGTCTACAAGAGCTAGTTACAGGATAGGCTCCAAAGATACAGAAAAACCCTGTCTTGAAAAAAATTGAAAAAAGAAAGAAAGAAAGGAAGGAAGGAAGGAAGGAAGGAAGGAAAAACTCAGCATTCAATGTAAATAATACTGCTGTGCATTTTACTGAAATTGTAGGACTCAGTCTAGGTAAGAATCAACACCCTGCACACTGCAGCAGATGCGAGCAAAGACCCTACTAAGTGCTAACATGCAATGAAGAGTCACAGGGCAGGACAAAAGAGAGGCAGGACAGGGGCCCAGGAAAGCCACAGCGTGTGACCACATGTGAGGTGAGGAGTTCACATTTCTCCCTGGCTCTGTTCCTGAGCACCAGGCCACCCGCCTTTTCACTGGCGGCCTGTGAGGTCAGTAAGTTGTCGCAGCACACTGCCTTTGTGATATTTAAAATGTTGCTAATTTCAGTGTGCTAAAGGTCTCTTTCAAAGAGAAACGACACAGGAAAATATTGACAGATTTAACTATACAAAATTGAAATTCCCATTCAATGAAAAACAAACATTTTAAAAGAACCAGAAAACCTGGCCACATTATATATGCCTAAGAATGTTCAATATCTTTAAAGAGTAGACTCAAATAAAAGAGCGTGTTCAATAGTCCCGTAGATCAATAGTGTATTTAAAGTATAAAATACTAGGAAAAATGTTTAACTAATATGAATCAAAGAATTGAAAAGTTCACATGGTATACCTATCCTGAGTTAGAAAAACAAGGTCAAAAAGGCTGAATTTGATAGTAGCAAAATTGTGGTGACCTGGCCCAGTCAAACTTTACTATTCATATAACACTGGGAATTTTTTTCTTGGGAAATAAGAATAAAACATAATGAGATCCACAAAATGGTTACACTCCTGATCAGTAACGTTACTTCTAAAATCGAGTCCTAAGAAAATACCAGAAAGAGGGAAAAAGCCCTGTGTGTGAACTCAGATGCTAGCAGTCCAGTTGTGTAGGAAAAGATGACTGTCCTGGGTGGATCTGCAGGCCACGGGGAGAGGGATTCCCTTTCGGAAACTAATACTTGTCCCAGTTAATCAAGCGTCCAGGGCAGACTGAAACAGATGATACAGTCGCCACAGAAAGGAAGGAGAGGTAAAGGCGAAACACCTCAGACCTTGGGTGGACGCTTGTGGGGCACCCACATGATGTGGCCGGCAGAAGGCTAGACAGAACGGTATAGGGAAAGAGGCTGGGACACTGCTGCCTCTGAGTTTGTAGGGATCAGTGTCCTGAGATAACCTCATGAATGGTGCATCACCTATGCCATCATCATACACTTCAAATCAATTTAGATTACTTGATTATAACTAATACAATGTCAATACTAAGTCGTATTGTTGTATTATTTAGGGATAATCACAGGAAAAAAGTCTACACACCTCTCTCTGAAGAACAGGCTGGCCTTGAATTCAGAGATCCATCTTCCTCTACCTTCCCAGGACTGGGATTAAAGGTGTGCACCACCACTGCCTGGCAAAAGCCTACATGTTTAAAGCATGTACTTTACCACTGAGCTATGCTGCCAATATCAAAGGTGGTGAGTATGCATGTGTATGAGTGTGTGTATGACATGTTTTTTCCCTTGCGTATGTTCAATCCCTGATTGTTTAAATCTGTGAATGCTGAACTCACTGAACACGAAGAGCCACTGTATATGAGCAGAAAGACTGCTAAGAAGCGAAAACATACAGAGGGGAGGGCACCTGGCTGAGCACAGTGGTGGAGAACACAGGGCTTAGGAATGGATGATGGAGGCAGAGAAGCCCACACAGAAGGCCAGACGACTGCAAAGCTAAGGGGCTCAGGAGGAGCAGCCAAGTGGCTCCAGAGCATCAGGGAGCCAGTGGCTTGGCAAGTGTCTGCTGAGAGCCACTGAGGGAGTGGCCACCAGCAATCCCTCTTGAACCCCTGGGCTCAGAGGGTGGGGGAGGAAAGGAAGGAGGAACATGACTGTAGGCTGTGTGAGCAGGCAGCATGGTAGGTGAAAACAGGACGTGGGACAAAGGAGGGGACGATTCAAGTAGCCATCTCGGAGGAACGAGGGGTGATGGGATAAAGAACTGAAGCAGAGGAGCCACCTTCAAACAAGATGGAAAACCAGAGGAAGAGATGTGTTGATAAGAGGCGGCTCCAGACGGGAGACTCTAGGCTCCAGAGACTCCGTGAGTTCAGTACTGAGTTGCCATGGAGAGGGAGAGTGTGGGAAGGTTTGGAATTGTTGACAACTGAGGACAAGCGGTAAGGTGCTAAGCAGTGAATGTGGTGCAGTCTACCGAGGGTATCAGGTTGAAGGGATGGCCTGGGGTTAGGATTAGCGGAACAGTTTCAGCAGCAGAATGGGGACTTGAAGCACTTGAAGATGTTAGGAAAATGACACCAGAGAGGGGCTGACAGACAGACTCTGGGATGCGGGAGCATAAAACAGCAGAGCGGTGTGGAAAAATGCTAGGGTGTGTCGAGGGAGGTGGGCTAGCAAGCAGCAGAGGAAGGCAGGACTGCTGAGGTCCTGACACCGTGTGGCCAGGGATCAGGGAGATTTTCATGTGCACAGGGGAGCGAGTCACACAGGACAACAGCAAGTTGTTGGAGGGAGATGTACAGATCTCCTAAGAGCCTTAACGGAAAGGTCCATGGCAGTCTTACATGAGTGGGGAGCAGAAGGATGGTCAGGAAGCAGAATCAAGGAGCAGGGCAGCATGAACCAGGAGGCCTGCTGTAGGTTCTGTAGGGCAAAGGAGAGCAGCGGCAGCGGAGGAAACAGGTCACATTGCTGGGCACAGAGGGGTTCTCAACTTCCTGCACCAGGTCCGTCCTTCCGTCCGTCCTTCCTTCCTTCCTTCCTTCCTTCCTTCCTTCCCTCCCCCCCCTTTCTTTCTTTTTTTCTTGGTTTTTTGAGACAGAGTTTCTCTGTAGCTTTGGAACCTGTTCTGAAACTAGCTCTTGTAGACCAGACTGATCTCGAACTCCTCTGCCTCCCGAGTGCTGGGATTAAAGGTGTACGCCACCACCACCCAGCCAGGTCCTTCATTTCTTTATCTCCCTCAAAGCACCCAGTACAGTGAAGAAACTTAAGAAACATGTGGTGAACGAATCATTGGAGTTTCTAGTCTAGTTTTTAATGTTGGCAAATAACAGGAGCTCTAAAATATAGACTAATTACAAAATGACCTCTCTGAATGAGCAGGAAGTCTTAATCAGTCAAACATATAAATAAAAAAGATTTTATCACACCAAATGCTCACAATAACATTTACTGACTGAAAACTGTCAAGAGGTGCTTGAAGTTTGTTTTAATAAAGAAAATTTAAAGAACATTGTATTTGTATCTAGCGTTCTATTCACTTGTATGAAGAAGCATACTACAAAAATGACTGAATAGACTCTTATGAGGTAAACATCTTTCCACTTATAATGCTATGTATACAATTAATTTCCATAGCAACCTCTTTTTTAGATTGTGAAATGCTTATGCTCAAATTATCACACATTAGCAAGTTGTAGTTCCAAAATAACAAAGTAGTCCCAGGCTATGCCAATGCCCGAGCGGCTCCACGTGTGCCAGCAGCGGCGTTTAAAGAGTGCTCGCTCTCACGCCGTGAGGGGCTGCCGTTCAGACCTTTACAATCTGCCCTTGAGCGCAGCATCCCTTCACTTGCTTCAAAAGGCAGCAGCTTCTGCTTATATATTTTTTTCTTCTTTCAGTTAAAACTTTTCTGCTTTCAATAGAAAAAAATCACCATCCCCTGGGCCCGTGACTAAGACCTTTGAAGGCACAGCACAGGTTTCTCAAAAAAAAAAAAAAATGCCTACACAAACAAATACTTCCACCAGGCACATTATTGACATTCTGATTCATGGATTACATCCAAACTTCAAAGGGACTTTTAAGTAGAATTTACCTATTGAAGATGAAATTCTATTCTCTCCATTACAATCGCAGACGAGACCTTAGAACAAGGCTGAAAGATGCCATTGCACTGATGTGAAAACAGCTGATATGCTGTGTGAACAGAGGTATGGAGTAAGCAGAATATATTTTGCTATCAGAATCTATAGCTAAAGGTCAAGCTATTATCCCGGTAACAGTTCCATTAGGAGTAATGATGTGAAAAGTGGCATTGCATTAATGCACTGGGTCTCCTACTACGTTAATAGTGGGTCATTAAGAATCATAGTAGGATAATTTGCATTCATCCTCAGAATGCAATAGGTTCTAAAAAGAAATTTCCCTCCTTCCTATTTTAATGCATCGAGGAGACAGGAGGGCTAATTTTAAATGAGCCCAAATAATCTGAACAAGTGGAACGAGACCAACGATTAAACTAAATAAAAGAGTTTAAGC